ATTTCTCTGTCTTTACCTCATATACTACTACAATCTGGATCTTGTAAGTCCCCTGAAGACCCATCTGTTGAAGCCTTGGTATTATTGGGAAAAGGTAGTTGGATCTTTAGAAGATAGAGCCCGTTGGGGTGAAGTTAGAAAGTCAGATCTCTAGGAGTACATGCCTATAATGGGAACTATAAAATATCAATCTCTTCCTCTTTTTAATTACTGACCATCAGATAAGCAGCTTCCTTGATAAGGTGAGATGCTTTTGTCATGATATACAGTACTGCCTCACCAAAGGCTTAAAAGCAGTGATCCAACCAACCGTGGACTGAATCCTTCAAACCTATGAACCAAAATAAACCTTTACTCTTATATGTTGATTATCTTGGGTATTTAGTTATAGTAACAGAAACCTAACATAGACATGAAGCCAACACTATCAAGTCTACCTCTGGATCTCTTATTAAATACAAATAAATCCTTTTTATTTAATCCACTGTAAGAGTAATTATCTGTCTATTTCCACATTTATGTCATACTTTTGATATTCCAAATGATATATGATAAAGCTACAGCAGCAGCAGTAGCAGGAAATTGGAGAATGCAAAGAAAGGAGAATCCAGGGAATTTCTTCCCCCTTTCCAGGCAGTGTTTCCAGTACTGGGTTTGTCTTCCATGATCCGAGACAGGTCCTCTTCCATGTGCCCAGCTCCCGCCCAGCAGCCCTCTTACACATCTGATAGATCCAAGTGGCTTTTTCTACTGAATTCTGGTAAACATCATCTCCTTCAGTTGTCCTTTCAGCATTGTGGTTGGTAGTGGCTTCCTGCTGTTACTAATCTCTAAACTGCTAATCTTTAAGGTTTATATGCCTTCTCAGCTCTCCTAGCTCCTTAGCAGCTAATGTCCTGTACTAAATTATTTCTACTGGAAAAACTGGCTTTGACTAAATTGTCTCAATTGGATCCTGCTTGACACAATATCTTAACTGAGTTTTCTATAATTTGCACAAATCACCTTCCAAATTCATTCAAACCTTAGAAGGAATTAAAGCTTCTTTATCTAGCAATTTTCCACTATTTCAAAAAACAATAATATAAAGACTCACTGTTTGTAGGCAAAGCTGTAGGACTAAACAACAAAATCTATTCATCCTTCTTGGATGTTGAATGAGGCTGAATTCAAAGCCATAGACAAATAATGAAAGTTCATCTGTAGATTCATGATTTGGTTGTGGTTTTGAATTCTTAATCCCTAATCCTGGCTGACATAAAAAAGATATTACACAGTTCATTACTGCTGTGACAACTACATGAATCTCATGCTTAGAGGAGTAAAACAAAAATTATAAATTCCCCAGAGGTATGCCTCCTCAGCTGTAAAGGGTCACTGAAATAAGGCAATTAGCGAATGGGCTAACATCTCTTCCCCTAGTTCCCTAGTGAATATGTGTATCATAAATTTATCATCCATGATACGTGAATGTCTTTTTTTCCAGAGTCTCCAATCTAATCATGGTTAAGAGAAAAAAAAAAAAACCAATTACAATTTAATCAGAAGTTTATTTTGCAAGACTTCGATACAGCTCTGCCAGATATGGTATCCCATTTTTATTTTCCCACTATGCTGAGCCCAAAGATCCCATTAAATAAGGGTGAAGTCCCCAATTATGCAGAAATATAAATAGTTTGCACAGTGTAATTTGGAAATATGTTTTCTTTTAGGGAAAAATGCAGAAGCCTGACTGTGACAGAAAAGAAACAAATTTTAATATCTCCATCAGATCAATTTTTCCATCAGCACTATGTATTAAAACATATACACATGCACACTTTGTCATTTGATGTACCTTAGCCATGGAGTCTATATGATAATCAATGATTCTTAAAGAGTTTTTCAGTGGATAAACTATGAGGACACTTTATACACCTTTGTGGCATGAAATAAATACAGCAGAAAAATTTGTAGAATCAAGTCTAAACTATCATCCTGAAGTAGACAGTTTAGTCTAATTTGAACACATGACATTTTGTGGGCTTGGTAACAGGTAGCAGGAGAAAGACTTTCTAGATGGGATATCACATACAATGTAAGTTTCCAAAAACTGGAGATCTAATATTGCCTTGGTCCTCCAAACTACCGGAATAGATGGTCTGTGCCCAGATAGGATTCAGTGTAATCAGCCACTTTAGCCAAAACAAAATTATTCTTATTTCTGTATAAAATTGTGGACGTAAATATCAGAAAAGTGGTCATTGTATACGATTGGACTTCCATGCACTATCTTTCTACAGTTATAGGAATTCAAGTCATATTTCAGGAGAAATTTCTATGGGGCAATGATGAATGATTTAGGAGATGGCAGCTGTGGAATAGGACCTTCTGAAGGTTAGTAATCCCATTCCACACTGCATTTTTGTTCATTCACATGGTGGCTGCATAGGGAGTACGGTTGCTTCTCTCCATAACTGGAGAGACTGCATTTCCCAAAATGGCTCCAATAATATTTTCCAAATTTCTATGTGACCTGATCTTACTCCTCTATCAAGAATGGAGTCTAATTCCACTTGGTTTGAATTTGGACAAGCCAGATTCTACTGCGTGTTTCTACCAGCAGAACGTGACAAAGGTGGTGCTGTGGCTTCCAGGGCTGGATCGTATAAGGCTATGTGATTTTATACCTTGTTGACATTTAGAGCTTAAAGTTGCCATGTAAGGAGCCCAACTTCCTTGAGGCCATCATGCTATCAGGAAGCCAAATCCACAGAAAGGTCACAAGTAGGTCCATTCAACAGCCCCAATGTCATTTCCTGAAGTCAGTACAAACCACCACCTCCCATGAGTCATCTTGAACATCTGACCCAGTCTGGTTTTCAGGTGACAGTGGCCCCAATGACATCTGACTTCATTGCTTCAGATGTCTAAACCAGGACCATCCAGATGAGCTTTTCCAAATTCATGACTCAAAAACTCCTTAGCAAAATAAAAGATTGCTTGAAGCCACTAAAATTCTGGGGTAATTTGTTATGCAGCAATAATAGCCAAAACAGAACTATTGCAGAATTACTTTGATTTTATTTCTGAAGCTATTTCAGAATCTAAGAAAGTCAGAAGATTCTTGTTACCCTTGGGGAAGAAGTATTTTCTCTGAGACACTTGACCTCTGAACTTTCTAACATCTTGGCATCTCTAGAATTTGCTAACACTGGATGGCTCTGACAAATAGACACACTATGGAATCAGGCAGGGAAAATTACATTTACCAGCATTCCTTAAGAAAATTATTCTACATATTCGGGAAAATACACTACAATCAACTACATAGTGAGGACAAGATGAAGGTAGAAGAAAGTACGAAACTCAAATTCAGTTTCAATTAATAATAAACAGCTGCTGGATTTCCATCTATGGAGTGGGAAAGTCCTTTTTGCTTTTCTAAACACCTAAGATTGTAAGGATAGAAGACAAACTGAATTACTCAGCAAAATAGTGCAAATTAGGCCATGCTTGGAAAAAGTAAAAAGGGAAACACCCCATTGCTGAGTAGCTGAAATGAGAACTTTGGGGAACAAAGATATATAACAATATTTTGAAAGTGGAGTGGGTAAAGAGAACTTCATCCCCTGTCATCCTCTGCAGAGTTTCAATAAATAATACATTGCTACATAATTCTCTTGTTGTTAGTGGTGAAAGAAGTGCGGATGTTTAAGTGAGCAAGGAGAAGAAACTAACTACTTTCGGAGACCATCAGCAACCCAGGATACCAAACTGCTAGAGCTGCGGCAGGGACGTAACATTTTTTAAGAGAAAGAAAATCACAAAGAGAGAATTTATCTTCAATATTTTCAAAGAAAAGTCCTTTGAAGGTTCTGAGAGCGGCTAGGTGTACATGGAGGAATTCCTAAGCTCTCATCAGTATTTTCTACTCAGATGCTAATGACTGTTTAGTTTTTAAGAAAAAAGAAAGTTGTGCGGGAAAAGGTAGCCAGTGGATGGACAGCTAGGGTTAATTGCCAGAGTCTCATGTGAAAGGTCTGGTGCTTTTAGTAGCTCTCCAAGTGAGCCTTCAATGCTTGCTGTCTCTTCCAAAAGTTTCAAAATTTTCCTTCATTTGTTCTATTGATGAAAAACTCTGTGTTAAATTGTTAATAGTTGATAATAAGCGAATATATTTTATGTATCTCAGAGTCATTTGCCTTTGTTGCCTCTATGAAGTTTAACCCCATAAACTCAGATATCTGAGAAGCATGCCGTTTGTTTTCTTTCTTCAAATCCAAATTTGAGCCTGAGGGATCTAGAGTTTACTACTATGTGAAGGTTTTTCTAAGCATTCCTTATCTACCTAAAAGCAGAATCTCCCCAACAGTTCAATCATCATAAATGTTCTCCTCGAAAGTTTTATAGCTGGGGAAGATTGACACCTAGCAAACAAAGGGTGGCACCAGCACAAGAAATCCTCTGAACAGACACTGCCACAAAACTCTTGGTGTCTCCCACCTATTCTTCTAAGAACCCTGTTCCCTTTCCTAAAAGCCACTTGCTTGCCCATAAGTTCCCTTTTTCTCCCTTCTTTTCCCCTACTAAAATGGTTGTAAGCCCCAATTCTAATACCTTCTTGAGTCATATTTTTCTGTGAACCTACTGCATACATACATAAACAACTCTTTCTTAAGAAGTTCTTTTTTAGTAATACTTGTTCGTAGTACATGCAATATACAATTATCTTGGGGATTGGGTACACATACTTAATACAGCTTCTTTTTTTAATCTTATTCCCTCCTGCCTCCCTCCTTCTTTTTCTGAATCCCTTTCCCCATTTTCATTCTTGCTGTTATTGTTAATGTTATATCATGTTTATGACAATCTTCTTGTCAGTATAATCTGCAGGTCCTCAAGTGCTAAACCCATGAAGATAGAAGAAATTTTTTTCTGTCTAATAGAACTATTCCCTTATAAGATTTTAGAATTCAACCTCAATTATTACTGATATCAAGCCAAAACATAGCTCTTGCTCCAAAGAATACAAGAGACAGTTTATTCTGAGCAAAATAGAAGTGACCAGGCCAGGAACATAGATTCAGGTTGCCCCAAATAATAGATTCTACCATGCATGAGGTCTCACTCACTTCCACAGTTACAGAACTGTGGAAAATTAAAAATCAGCCCATTTACTAATTACATTGGTGTGGGCCTTGGGTAGACAGACTATAGTAAAGTGGGAAAATATATTGCACATGTGTCAGATGTTACTTCATAGCATTCTTAGCATTGGTGTTGGTAGAGGGTAGAGGTCTGTTGGGCTTAGTCATCCATTCCAAGAGTTTTACCCAATAGTCACAAGAATGTTAGGTCAGAGGTTTCTTTCAACCTCTGTAGGTTGAAAGAAAATGGCTATTAATGAACCTAAGATAGCCAAGACAGTTTTGGCTCTCAACTTGCAACATTCCATCTCTCCACAGTCATAATGTTCTACTGGTCAAGGTCAAGCAGTCTGCAGGTTAAGTAGAGGCAGCTTCTTCAGAGAACTTCAGCTCCATGCTAGGATTGGTGGGAATAGACTTCTCTTCAGGTTCCAGTTGTAGTCTAGCAGCCTTATGTGGCTCATGAAAGTAGAGAGAAAAATCACTTGCCTTAGCCCATTCTTCTACTGACATACACTTATTGTTCAGATAGCACTTCTCCTTGTGTCCCCATGATTCCTCTGCTGTGTGGGGGCAGGGAAACTGGAGCTATGGCAAGAGCTCTGTGAAAATGTTCAAACTCCTTAGAAATAGCTTTCTTCAGCCCTGTTCTCTTCCTGAGACTCTTTATGGTGCAAGGAGCACATCTTGTCATTCTCCACACAGGTTTCCATTCCCTGCAGTCTTTGGAGTTGCTTCTCAAAGAACACTCACTTTGTTCTCATCTCCCTAGAGTATATCTCCCAAAGATCTCAGTCCTTGGAGACATAAAATCCAGAAACGCCACTGTCTGTAGTAATTTTCTTCCTGTATCTACAACACAAAACTGCCTGGTGTCAAGGGTGGGACTCAGAAAGAAAACTACCTTTATAGGAGAGAGAAAAACTTTTTGCACAAAGAAAACATTAATATGTCAAAGGAATGGGCTTTTTTAGAGCACATTACTTCTATGGAATAGTAGGTTTTATCTGACAGATATATATATAGATATAGATATATAGATTTATAGATATATATTTGGTACCTCGGTTCACAAATTCTGTTCTCTCCACAATTCTGGCTGCAAAATGAACTGGACAGGAACAGAATCAAATTTTCCCAGAAGGTTAACATTGAGTCTAAGCACTGAATTTGATTTGGTTTCTATCCCATTTGGTATGTGACAACAATAGTGAAAAGAACTAAGTTTGTGAACTGAGGCTTGTATTTATATATATTGATTACTTTTGCATTCATTTTTGTAAAGAGTGAGGCAGCAATCTAGGAGGCAAAGACCTAGTTTCAACCTTCTACATATTGACATCCAGTTTTCCCAGCATCATTCATCAAAGAGGCTGTCTTTTCTCCAATGTGATATTTTTGGCAGTTTTGTCAAAAATCAGACAGTTGCAGCTATATGGATTTGTTTCTATGTTCTCTATTCTATCTCATTGGTCAATAGTTCTGTTTTAATGCCGGTACATGCCCGTTTTATTACTATGTATTTAACTGATTCACATTGATACTAAAATTAGATAAAGGCTCAACAAAAAAATGAAAACTATACACCTTGATGAACATAGATGCAAAATCATCAATAAAATTCTTGTAAACAGGATTCTACAGCACAATAAACATATCATGAACCATGATCAAATTTGTTACATTCCCAGAATGCAAGGATGGTTCAATATATGTAAATCAATCAACCTAATATACCACAAAAATAGAATCAAGGATAAAATCACATGATCATTTTAATAGATGCAGAAAAAGCCTTTGACAAATTTCATGATAAAAGTCCTGGAGAACCTAAGGACAGAAAGATCTTACCTCAATATAAGAAAGGCAAATCCACAACTCTCATCATACTGAAGAGTAGAAACTGAAAGCATTTCCTCTAAAATCAGGCAGAAGACAAGTGGTGACTACTGTCACTGTATCTGGTGAATACATTCAATGTAAGCCCTGGAAATCAATATGAGATTCCTCAAAAAAACTAAAACTAAAAATTTCTTTCAACCCCGCTATTTCCCTTCCAGGTACCTTCCCAAAAGAATTAAAGTCACTGTATTACAGTGATACATGCACACCCATGTTTATAGCAGCACAACTCATAAAAACTAAATCTTGGAAGCAACCTATATGTTCATCAAACGATGAATAGATAGAGAATATGTGGAATTTATACATAATGGCATACTGTTCTGCTGGAAAGAAGGATAAGCTTGAGTCATTTTTAGGAAATGGATTCACCTTGAGATCATAAAGTTAAGTGAAATAAATCAGATAAGCAAGCTGAAGTTGTGCATGATTTCTCTCATATGAGAAACACAAAATTAAAAAAAAATTAAAGGACAAAATAAAAGGCAATAGGAAACAGAGAGAAAGATCCTTTGCATGGGAGACAGGGATCATGAAATGGAGTGAAGAAAAGTGGGTAAAAAAGAATTAGGATGTGTTATGTACATGGGCCAACTCCCCACAATGAATGTTGTCATTGCGTACTGCAAGCAAGTACTAATCAAAGTAAATTTTTTTAAATTCAATGACATTCTTCAAAGAACTAGAAAAAGGCGGTATAATTCATATGGAATTGTACAAATTCATATGGAAACACAAAAGATCCAGAATAGCCAAAGCAATCCTAATCAAGTAGAGCAAGGCTGGAGAAACGAGCTTCTTAAAATGGGTCTTGTGTCTTCTCAGGGTTTACAGTGGCCTCAAACAGAAAGACCAAAGTACAATGTTCTGGTGAAAATCTGAGTTATTCTGAGACACATTTCCCATCATATGCAGCCGTCATGAGGATTTCATTTCTTCCTAGCAGATAATTTGGAGCTGAGATTCTCACCTTAAAAGTAACACCACCCATGCCAACCTGTACTCTTTGAATATGGAATCCTTTCTAAATCTGGATTTGCCCACCTTCCCCACTGCGCTGGTTTTCCTGGCCCACGCCAGGCCTCCGCCCCTGAGAGGGGAGACCTTCCTGCCAGGACACGGTCTGGAAGTCTCTGAGAAGTAAATATTTAGGAGGGAATTTTCCTGCCCCACCCTCGCCCTCCAGGAGAAAGTCAGCAGTTACTCAGTTTGTGAACCCAAGGCAGGTCCCGTCTTCTTTGACTCCTGCCAGAGACAGCTGCCTTTGAAAAGAGAAACTAACAAAAAACTCAGCTTTTCCTGTGAGGAGGAAGCAGAACAAGCCCTGGCACCGCGCTGACCTCATACTTCCCTCAAACCACTTGTTTACAGGTGGCCAAGTGGGAAAAACAAGCTCAAGAAGTTGCTTCTGCTGCTGCCCTCATCACTGGATCCTAGTGACCTGTGAGATGACATTCAGAACCAGTTTGCCCACTGTCCTGTCCCTGTGAGACTTCAACAAGGTCATGTAACATCAAAGAGTTTCTGCCAAACCCCTCCTTACCCTTCCTGGAGTGGCACACTGAGAAGTAGTAAAGGATGTAGATTTGCATGTCCCAACCAAGAGAAAGAATCTAAAAAAGCACAAATTACATTTTTCAAATGATGCTTTTTTGAATTTCACTCTGGTCCAGCCTCCAGCAGCCCAAATCCTTGCTCTCTGCTTTCTTATTTCTTTTAGAAAGCCCACTTTATAGAATAGGTAAACTGCGTTTCAGGGGGAGTCAGTGACTATTTCAGGTCCCACAAATGACAAAATGTATAGTCCATAATTCCAAGCTATGATTTCTAGTCCATTAACCATTTTTAACCTTTTAGATATATATTTCACCAAGACACTTTTAGGTTTATTTGTTAGTTTAAGATAGATGCTTCAAAAATACTAAAATTTCCTAATATTAGGAGGGGCTGAACTCCTGTTAGGAAAACTAGACTAAGTATTTATGAAATTGTAAGCAAATTGATATCTTTGGGAGACACCAACAAATCACAATTGGCAAGAAAAATGTATACCAGTCTCTATTATCTTACAAAGGGTTGCTTTCTGTTTACAGTCGGATAGCTCAGTTTAAGCACTAGTGTACATACTGGGTGTGCACATGTATTAGGGTGTCTGTGAGAGTCAACAAGCTTTAATATAGAGCAGGGTAAAGCCTAATAATAAGCACACTGTGTACAAGAGAACAACTAGAGTGTTCTGCAGCTTTGAAAAACATTGTGGCTAAACAAAATGTCCTGCCAGGGGCAACATGGGCCAGCTCTCTATCATCTCAGTGGGGGCAGGTCGTATTTTCCGGTTCAGTCGGCCTTCAAGACCCAGCCTAATACACTAGGTTCTTGTGTGGGTGCAATAAGACCAACAATTCTATTTATGGTCTGAGAAAGGGGAGGCCAATTTAGTTTCTTTCACAGACCTGTATCTTTTCCAGAGAAATCCTTAATCCTCCACAAGTGCCTCCGAAGAGAAAAGAGGCGTGTTTTCTTGGAGAACCCGTAGCATTTTAAAAACATTTTTTCAATCGGATAAGGGTGCCATGAAGGTCATGTCCTGCTAACTATGGTTAATTAAAGGCACAGGTGTCATTTAGATGTGATCTCATCGAATCTCCAAAGACAGCTCTTGACAGAGGCAGTATTTGATATATTTTCAGATGAGAAACTAGGCTTCTGACATTTTAACTAATGTTCCAAAAAGACTCTGTGGAAAGTGACAGAGCTCTTTTGACCTCAATCCTAACCACTGTGCTACACTGGCTCCCAACACAGTATAAACGAGGGTAAATTATCCACACGGGATATAGGATGGTTGGCACCCTGCAGGCAAGAACTAAACGGTGAGGAGCCGCACTTGGAAATTAGAGGACAACTTTAACCCTGAGCTCCACTTCGAGAACCCTCTCCCATAAACATATTAAGTATTTTTCTAGTTTTTAACTGGGTAGAGTTTTTTTAAAGATAATAAAATTTGGGCGTAAAGGCAGAGCTGAGTGATAGTGTGCTTACCTAGCAATGTGTGAGCCTCTGGTTTCAATCCCCAGCACGGAAACAAGAAAAAAAGTAATCAATTTAATTGCTTTGTAAAACACACTACTTCTTTCATCTCCTGGGGCAAGAGAAAAATGTCACATAAAATTGTTCACATATAAAAACTTCTAAGCTGATCACATAAAGATTAGCGTGACCAAAAAGAACATTACGTGGAAGTTCAAATATATATAAAGTAGAGACCTCTATGGATACATTACTACAAGTATCAGTGACATTGATAATTTCAAAGCACAGTGATCTTCACAGAAAGTCCATTCTAATGTTCTTGAAAAGTAATGTTTATATAAATATATAGGATATGGAAAAATAAAATTATTAACACAACTAGTTAGAACTAGAAGTTAGGAGAACACAGTCATGTTTATTAAAACTGAGTTTTTCTCTAACAACTTTGAGACTGTCCCCAAGAAATCCTGACATACATATAACAAGATACGTAGAAGATTACTAGTGCTTTTCTCAGATAAAAATGTGTGAAATATCCACCCATTGTAGAATGTCTAAACAAATTCTATACAATTTAGCTACAACCACACATACCAACGTTGATTAATAAGGTAGATATAATGAGAAGCAAAACACAAATTCCAGAAAAATACATAAACAGGTCCATTTCTATACATTTAAAATATACAAAACGAAGTAACCTCTACTCTAAGCATACAAACATATGGAAGCTCTGGAGCGGTGGTGCTGAACCTATGGCAGCCGGACTGCAGCGGTACGCAGAGCCCTCTCTCTCGGCAGTGGAGCAAAGGGACACTTGGTTTTAATCGCAGTCTTGCGTTTGCTGGACAGGCGCTGTGCCGCTGAGCTAAATCCCCAGCGCAAGGTCGTGAGTTCAGTTCCCGGTACCGGCGAAAAAACAAAAAAACAAACAAACAAACAAAAAAAAAAATCGCAGTCTTGGCTTTGTGCGACAAGAGGGTTTGGGATTGCCGTCTCGGTCTCTAAAAGGTTCGCCATCACTGCTCTGGAGAATTTCAAGGCAATGACATACTTTAAATTTGGAAGTGATCCCTGTAAAGGGGAAATATGAAATCGGGGTGGGGCACACCGAAGGATTAAACTGGGTTTGTCAAATTTTGTTCTGCAATCTAAGTGGGTGAAGTACTTCTCTTGTACTGTTTACATTTTTTGGTTTTTAAAAAACTGCTTCATGATTTGTTACTGGTACCCTCCAAGATCAATACACTTCCTCCAAATAACCAAGGAAAGGGGCTGGAGATTTAACTCAGTGGCAAAGCGCCTGCCTGGCAAGAGTAAGGTCGTGAGTTCGGTTCCTAGTACCGGAGAAAAACCAAAAACTAAAAAAAAAAAAAAAAAAAAAAAGGCAAGGAAAGGTCCTGCTGTTACCTCTGGAATCGGTTGCTTTCATTTGACTGGGGCTGTGACTAAGCTCCTGAGAATTTACATTTCAGATTGAAGACAGAAGAGAATTGAGAAGCCCATTATGTATGAATGAAAAACTGTCCTAAATTTACAGCCTGAGTTTGTCTTCTCCACCCCTTGGGAACCCGCTGGTGCGGATTCCATGTTCTGCTCTAGCCTGGCAGCCAGCATAGGAAGGAGCACGAATTTTAAAGACAAAGATAGATTTGTGTTTGAATTCTGGCCTTGCCCAGTTTTAATTCCAGTTTTTTTCCCTTACACAATGGAGCTAATAATACTAACCTACCTCACTGAATTTTTATAAGGATGGAATTAGTTACTTCATACAAAGTGCCTGACGTGCAGTGAGCACTCATAAATAACATGGTCTTGATTTATGCAACTCTCCAGTATAAGCAAATCTGTTCTGATTCTTTTTCTTTCTCTCAGATGTCTACCATTTCAAATTTATCCTATAATTAAATATTTTTATTCATATCACTTTCCTAAAGCTTACTGGTAACATGCAAGCTAACTCGTTGTTTAGCTAATCAATATTCTAGTTATTTCTGAACTTTAAAAAAAGAAAAGAAATACAAGCGTTGTACTTAATCATGTTTCTTTCTTGCTTAAAAGCGCTGGCTGAAGTCATGGGACCATTACCTCAGAGTGCTCAGACATTATTAAAACAAATGACTCTGGGTCAGTATGAGGGTAGTCCTAACACCTACCCCTGCAGAGGGGGCTGGGAGGTCCCTGAGAAAGAGTGAAAGAATGGATCCCGTACTGCTCACACATAGCATTATTTAGAAATAGCTTGTTTTGCTAATATGACCAGATGGCTCCCAGTTATATATAGAAACACCCCAAATCACACTGATTTTCCTGACAAATGTCCCATAAATGGCAGTTAATCTAGACTGAAGGGCTCGTGTCTATTTGGAAAAAAGCTTTGTTCAAGGTTATATTGTCCGCTGACAAGAGCTATTCCTTGGGATTGCTGAAATCCCAGTGAAAAACACCCGGTAGAGCCAGAAATTGTAGGTTCTAATTTTTACTCCTCCACTTCCTGGTGAGGTGGCATTAGTAAACTGCTTCATTTCTTTATTCATAAACAGAGTTGGTAATACAGAGTTCTGGGGAGATTTTTTAAAATATTGGGAAAGACTGGGAAGGGAGCCAGATGCCTGGTAAGCATTCAACATGTGTTAGGTGAAATATTAGCTGACTCAGTGGATAAACTTGGACACACGTCTTCAAATTTTAGATCCTAGTTTCAAGACGGTAAGGGTCATAATGGAGTGCAAAAAGTTTTAGACTTGTAGTTGAGGAGAAAAACTAAATTGTGCTTGCTAGCCTCTAGATAGCTTTGGTCAAATTTCTCATGTTTTCTGAATCTATTTTGTTTTTCTGTATTGAGGATTAAACTCCAGGCCTCTGCACTGAGCTGTATCCCCAGCCCTTTTTTTTTTAATTTTTTGAAATAGATTCTCACTAAATCACCAAGTTGCCTGGACTCAGCTCAAATTTGCTATCCACCTGCCACACAGCGTATTTCCAGTATATGCCACCAAGACAAGCTGTGAGTTTTATTTGCTTAGTGTATAAAATAGGACAAGATATCTTCCATATTTACTTGCACGATTGTTGAAGGGCACAAAATTTGTCACTATGTGTCAGCAATATTTATATTCTTCATTCTTTCTGTTTCTAAAAATAACCACCATTGTTGAACATGCATTTGTGTTTTCTCAGATTATTAACATCTGACGGAAAGGACAGACTTCAGAAAATCCAGAATTATAGAAAGGTTCTGGAATTGTTTGATCTGTTCTATGCAAAGGCAAACGGTAAGTGCAGAGCAATGATGAAGGTAATTATCCATCTCTGGAGAAATGCTACCACCTTCCTTGACCTTATGCTTTCAAGTTCAGTAGGATAGAATAATACCATAAGAGTTTAAATCCCAGAACTACCTTTGCTCTAACCGAGTCTGAGCAATAGTTTCTGAACAACCAAGAAGTCTAATTTTATAGCCAACTGGCTACATTGTTGGGTAAATGAAAGGATAAGGCTTCTGAACACTTGAGTTCTTTAATGGTCTAGGGGCAGTAAGTTACGGGTCATTGCAGCATCTGCAGTGTGCGTGGATGCTCCCGTAACTTTCCCTGAAAGGAAATAACACAAGTTAGAGCTCCGTTTCATCAAATAGGAGAATCCTACTTATTTTATCCTTCTCGATTAGAAAAAAAAACCTCTTTCCTGTCTAGGTCATACATTCTTATTTTAAAAAAAATTTTAAATACTACAAACAAAGCTGAAGTCTCCTATCACCACTCCTCTTTTCCAAGATGCTTACTATTACCCGTTCATTGAGTATCTTTCCAGAGCTTTTTTCTTCACATTCTCTTAAAGTTCGTACATATAAAAACATATTTTTTGTGTGTGTATTTGTGCATAAATAATTCAAACTTTTCTATAACTAGATTTGTATTCTACTGTATGCATTAGAGATAGTGCCATGTCATTTCATATCTATGTCTTTGTTTTGAACTATTGCATAATGCTCCCTAGTATGAATGAGCTATTTTTTGTGTAACCATTTTTGCATCCACTTTCTGTCACTGTAACAAAATACCTGAGAATATCAACTTTTGGCTCACAGTTTGGACCAAACTATTTTTGACTCCTCCTTGCAAAGGTTTCAGTTCACAGTCACGTGGCCCAGTTGTTCGGGACCTATGGTGACACAGTACCCCATGTCGACAGGCGCAAGATGTAGAAAAATTGCTTACCTCATGGCTTCCAGGAAGCAAAGAGAGAGACTGGAAGAGAACAGAGGTCCCCACACCTGCTGCAAGGGCACAACCCCAGTGACCTAACTTCCTCCCATTAGTACCCACACCTAAAACTTCTCCCACCTCCCCCAGTGCCAGAGACTGGCGATGGAGCCTTAAGCACATCAGCCCAGAGGGGACATTTGAGATTTGAGTCACCACAACTTACCTGTTGACTTAAAAGTGAATTGTTTCAAATATTTTTGCTCTTGTAAACATGGCTGCTGTGAATATATCTGTCCATCCTTCTCAAGTGTATGTAGAGATATAAAAAAGTAATTACAGGGGCTGGGGATTTAGCTCAGTGGCACAGCGCCTGCCTAGCAAGTGCAAGGTTGTGAATCTGATTCCCAGTACCAGAAAAAAAAAACAAAAAAAGTAATTACTGATCATAGAATGTATGTACTTAAAGCTTTAATACTGGCAAATATCTTTGCAGATGTTTGCACAGTTTATACTCTCATTAATGTATTGTAGTTCTCATTTCCTTACATGTTCTCTGACACCTGATACCAAATACTTCAACGTTTACATCAGGCAAATCTCTGCTGATTTTATTTGTATTTCTGTGGCTAGTGGTAATATTTGTTTTTTCATGAATGTATTACCTGTTTGTGTTTTTCTTCAATACATCATCTGTCAATGTAACATATATATGTCTTTTCCAGACCTTATTCTTTTAGTCTATTTGCATTTTCTTGTATGCGTTCTATATTTGTGTAATTAATCTAGCTTTTAAATATGTTTTAATAACTTGGAAGAGTATCTTCTATTTGTTTTAGACATTTTTACTTGCAAATTGTAATACTGCAAGTATTTTGCAATTAATTGTAATCGAGGACATTGCAAGAAAATATCTAATCTTGCATCACTAGTGATAAAATAACAGATACCACTCTCTATTTCTTACAGATGAAGAAATTTAAAAATCACAAAATATACTAAGGCATGTTTTTTAGCAAGTACAATGTTGATTTTATTACACACTAGCTTTGTAGTATAGTTTCAAGTCAGGGAATGTGATTCCACCCAACTTGTCTTTGTTGCCCAGGATTGCTTTTGCTATTCTGGGTCTTTTCTGGTTCCAGATGAATTTTAGGAATGTTTTCTCTAGATCTGTAAGGTATGCTAATGGTATTTTAGTGGGAATTGCATTGAATCTGTTAAACAATTTTGATAGTACAGCTATTTTCACAGTGTTGGTTCTTCCTATCCATGAGCAAGGAATATTTTTCCATTTACTGAAGTCCTCTTCAATCTTTTTTTTCAGAGTACTGTAGTTTTCATTGAATACATCTTTTACTTCTTTTGTTAGATTGATTCCTAAATATTTCAATTTCTTTGGTGGAATGAAAGGAAACTTCTCAAAAGTAAAGAACACCTGGGATGAGGGAAAAAAGAAAAGAAAGAAGGATAAAATTATGTATATATGTAGATACAGGATAGCTTACATAGTTATACTACTGACTTTTATCACTTTATTGAAAGGAACAGTTAATGATTAATTATTTTGATCCATCTTGCATGTCTATATTTGTTTTCCTGAGTAACCACTTTGAAGTGATCAATACGTAATACAACAACCATTGTTAATTCCCTATCACCTTGTCTGTAATTCAGTATTGCTTGTACTATTCTTGTGCTACTTTGTAAATGGTTGCCTGTTTCTTAATATGCTTTCACTCCTTTACTTCTAAAATAAAAAAATATATACTAAAGCAAATCTAAAACCCATTATCTTTGGGTCTGCACTTTTATTCCAGACTAAAGTTCAGCAATTTTACCTAGGTGCCACAAAAGCCTAGAACCTTAGGAGTGAAGTAATGTAGGTAAGAATTATCCAACCTAAAATCATTTTACATGCGAGCAAACAGAGATGATAGTTTGAACTCAGGAATCTTTTACATATTTATAATAACTCTGTGAGAAAGATGAGGAGAATAAAAATATTCCATGGAACAATAGTATATAGTGTTCTTTTTTATTTGCTGTCTACCTTCTAGGCAATTGAAATATTTCTGGTTTGGATCTAAATGTACACTGAAGGCCTGCATGTTGAAGACTTGTTCCCCAGCCTTGATGCTACTATGAAGTGGTGGAACTTTCAGGAGGTCAGGCCTCCTTGCAGGAAGTCGGATGTCCTTTCAGGAAGTCGGGTCTTTAGGGGCAAGTCCTTGAGGAGCTATTGGAATCTCAGTCTCTCTCTCTCTCTCTCCCCCCGCAATCTCTCTCTACCTCTTCTGTCTCCTTCCCAGCTACCATGACATGAACAGTCTTTCTCCATCATGTGTCCTTCTGCATGATTTACTGTGCTACCACAGGCCCAAAGCAACCAGGCCAAGTGACCATGGATGGAAACTCCTGAAACAGTGACCCCCAAATAAACCTTCTTCCTTTTAAGTTGTTTTTCTTAGATATTTTATCACAGTTACAGAAACCTGACTAAGACAGATGGTGCTGCCTCCATAAGCACAGACGGGCAAACATGTTTGCCATGAGCAGTGGTGATTACTGCAAAGCCTCCTCGGGAACAGGTGGTACAAGCTCTCCCTTTGACTGGGACAGTCCACATCCTTTTTCTCTACTCAGAGCTGAAAGATGCATGAACGCTGGATTTTAAGAGCCATTTTGTTTCATCCATTGGTTTTTTCTTTGCCTGAACAAAAGGACTAATGGTTTCATCTGTGTCATAAACTTCAGTGGACTTACAGCTACTCCTGAAAAAACATCACTAGGACATTTCTCTTGCCTCAGCATCATCTGGATTTTGAGCCAGAATGAGAAACAACCCAGTGTGTGAAGTTCTACCAAAGTCTTGGCCCATGGTGTCGGATCCTCATCAGGGTCAGTCGAATAGCAAGAAGAAAAGAATCTACCACAGACAGGGTTGTAAGTCACATACCCTGATTGGATAACTTCTAATTATTCCTAGGTCCCCAATTTAGGCACCTCTTAGCCTCATGTGTTCATTTGCAGCCCTCAAGCAATTTTTAAAAGCTTTTCCATTTCACTTTGTTATAAATAATAGATCAGAACACATGTCAAAAATAGTCTACAACCTAAAACGTATGTATGCACAGTAAGACCACAGAAGTAGACTGCAAAACTTGAAGCCAGTTATTTTAGCATGGATTTTAAAGTCTGTTCAGCACATTTATTTGAAAAGTAACTGTTGTTCATCCAATATGCCATGCTGTCAAGAAACAAACCAAAGACAAAGGCCAACGTCCTGCCCTCCAGGATCATGTAATCTTATTCCTCAAGGCCCCTCCTCTGTGTATGGTGAATATGCACTTGAAGCATTAGAGGTCCTTGGGATTAAAGTGAAACACCTTTCTCTCCTTCAGTCAGTCTCAAGCCAAAGAGGAATTGCAACACTTTTCTTTGGGCCCTTTAACAGGGCTGTAACATAACTCTGTGGACCTCTCAAATATAGGAGCTGACCCTGTTTTAATTTATGAAAATGCTCCTTTGTTTTCTATTATACTGTGGTTCTTCTATGTATCCCTTTTGTGGGTATGTACAAGAAACTTAGACACAAACTTATTCTTCAGATGAGCCTATCTTTCTCTCTCAATGAGGGAAGTTCCTTCCACTCAGATATCCCTACCTTGAACTTCATGTCTTTCTTCACTAATTTTACAGATACTTCCGTGATCCTCTTTGAGATTTCTAGTCCCAGAAAAATTCCACTTTGTGTTCCTTTTTCTTTTTCCAGCTTTCCAGGAGAATGTCTGAAAAACAACAGTATTATGGGAAAACTGAGTTAGTATCCTGGTACTGCTACTACTTTACAATGGGAGTTTCAATATTCTTGATTGTGAGTTAGATAATAAGACTAATACCAGCTAACTACCTCAGCAGACTGATGAAATGATTAAGGAATGTGAAGCAGCTGTCTTGTTAATTACTGGCTCCTGTCCTATTTTCCTAATTAAACTCCAAATTCCTCCTTTATGTTGTAAAGCATCCCACTCTGGTCTCTTATCATCTTACTTGATTTTTAAAAAGCTTTCCTTGGTTCTTATCTCTGAGTGTTTTCCTGGACAAGTTCTCTCACAACAACTGTGAGCATTACCTTCAATTTGCTCAGGCAGATTTACATCCCAGGGAAACTTGGCTCTTTCACCACTGCCTCTATCATGGAGTGTTATCAACTCTCCATCCTAGTACCACCTTCTCAGGACATCCCCACTACCAACCTCCTTACTGGACCTGTGTGATATGCTGATTTACTGAACTTTATCAAGGTGGGTGAAGAAGGAATCCTGATAAAAGTGTAGTAGAAGTACGGCCTACTTTGAGCTCTTACTAGTTTAATAATAGCTTGTAAAATAGCTGAATATTTAGTAGTAAATATCACGGGCCAGCAAGACTGGGCACCAGCACATGGCAGATGCAGGTTCCAGGACATAGCTTCTTCTTTTGGTCATGAAATTTCATAGACATTCTACACTGAAGGTCTATTAGCTTCTTTTACCTAATGATGTCCTGACTCCAGCATTAGGGGCACCCCTACTTCATGGCCTATTTCCAGTGCCTCATCCCATGGATGAGGCATAACATCCAATACTCACAACTTAAAGGAGGAAGGATTTAATTTAGATCACATTTTCAGGAGATTCAGTACATGGTCTGCAGTTTTCAAGGAAGAAACATGGCAGAAGGGCATGGCAGAGCAAAGCTGCTTAGTTCTGGGCAGCCTGAAAACAGAGAGGGAGTGGAGGAGCCAGGGAGAAGAATGCTCCCAGGGTCTCCCCTTTTTCCACCAGACTTCACCACTGGAGAGCACAGTCAGCTATGTACTTCTCAGCAGATGAATCCACTGATGACAGTAGCACTATCATGATCCAATCACCTTCCATGTACATGTGACTTGGGGTGACATTTTAGATCTAAACCATAACAAATGCTGAAATGATTGGCATATCCTTAAGCTCAGAAAATTCCCTGTCCCTTGGTGGACAAAATTCTCTTTGTCCCAAGAATTTGATTATTGGGAAGTATTTTCTTTCTTTCTTTCTTTCTTTCTTTCTTTCTTTCTTTCTTTCTTTCTTTCTTTCCTCTTTCTTTCTTTCTTTCTTTCTTTCTTTCTTCTTTCTTTCTTTCCACTTTAAATGCAGTGTTACTATTTAAACTCAAAGAGACAGACTAAGGGCTGTGTCACCACCACTGCCATCAGAGTCCTATGTTGAAATCCAAATCCTCACTATAATTGTAGTATGGGGCCTTTGGTTGGTGATAAAGTCATGCAGGTCAATCCCTTTAAAAAAGGGATTTCAGAAAGGTCCCCTGTTTGTAGAACTGTGAAAAATAAATTTATTTCTATAATATCTAGTCTCTATATTTTATAGCAGCCCAAATGGCCCAAAGTAGACATATATACAAATAATTTCATTGCCCTAGAAAATTTTTCTAAATTCTGGTTATTTCTTAACTTATCTCATAAAAGAAATACAATTAAAAGAGACTGAGTCAAACTATTGAGAGTTAAACAAGAAAAGGTTAAAATGTTCTAAAGCTTGAAAAACAATGATCTTTGTCTTTTGCCATCTGTGGCCTAAACTGCAAAATTGCTCCTAATTCCAGGCAAAAAAAAATAATATTTCAAAATAATTTACAACTTGCCAGTGAGGCAAATAATGCTACAAGAAAAGTAAATCATCTTAATTTTACAATTTGTTATTTTATTCTGACAACTTTGGAAGAAAAAAGAAAGAAACTTTCAATAAAGAATTTCCAAATTGGCTTCAATTGAAAAAAATTTTTGAATCTATTTGATACACTTTGTATTTCTGGTTTTTTTTAAAAAAAATCACTCTACTTTAATAAATTCAGCTAACCATTTGGCTTTCAAAGCCAATAATTATGACAACCTCATTGCAAATATGTGTACATACTTCGGAGTCACCTGGACTTTCCACTCTGCCGACAAAATGTTTGGTTTGCCTTACCACCTGGTGTTCACACCCTCGTGTGGGCCTTTCCTACCTGAATAGGACTAATTAGGACTGATGGGGATTAGGTGTAGCCAATAGAATACTGTGTATATATGTCATAAAAGACATGGCAGCTCCTGTTGCTTACTTTTGGATCCCTATCAGCTTCCACATCACAAGTACAGTCAGAAAGCCCTATGAAGAGTCTACGTGGCAAGGAACAGACACTTTCTGCCAAAACTAGACATCCCGTCAACACATGAGTAAGCTATCTTCAACGTGGATCCTCAAACCCACATCACACCCACTGACTGCAGCCCCACCTAACATCTTGACTCAACCTCAGGAGAGCCCTCAGAGCCATCCGGCTAAACTGTCCCATAATCCCTGGCCCACAATAACTATGTGAGCAATAGTGTTTATTTTGGCTTTAAACTGCTAAGCTCGGGGGTAATTTGTTATCAAGCATAGAAAACTAATAGGTAGGAACTTAAAACCCAATATTGAAAGAGCCATTGTTTATAAACCTTTCAGGGTCAGTAAGTGCAAAAAGGCTGCACTTTAGTCCTTATTATAGACATTATTGGGCATTTGACACTCCTTAGCCTTCGAACTCCCCTTTTCTGTATATGAGTTCTCTACTTATTGAATTTGACATAGTAAGAGGTAGAGTATTTCCTTCTACTCTAGATCTAGAAAAATAGAAGGTACTTACTTTGCTAGTTTCCCTGACAACTGGAGCTAGAACAAGTGCCCTGGGCATGTCTTGTCAGGTGTACTTCCCACCTATTGTGTTGACTCCAGAGCTATTGCAAGTGGGCAGACAATGAGACGTGCAGGAAGTGACCAAAATGGCAGCACCATAAGCTATGGCGCCCCCTCTGGTCTAGTGACTCTCATATCAGTGACCTTCCTCATTAGACTGTTTTGTTCCTGCCCCTTTCACTACACTGGTTTTCTAGCCCCAGAGATTCTATGAGCTATTCCCTATTTCTTAACAAATGTCTTTCTTGCTTAAATATGCATCTACTGTATGCACATCGCATCATGGTAGGTACAGTGAAAGTCACTCAAGAAGAATCAGATATATCAGAATATCTGCTATCAACAGGAACTTCTGAAGAGATAGTACCTCACTCTGGTTGATTGGATCTATCTTCTAAAGCACAACCTCATGGGCAGAAAGAAGTCAAGTCATGTTATGGAACAATAAAAGTTAAAGGGCACAACTAAGGTGAATCATTGTAAATATATATAAATGTACCACCAGTTTGAGATTCTCAAACACTAGTGATTTATAGATGAAATGCTTTCCAGTTTAAGTTCTTCTCCTTCAGTAGCTTTATATTTAAATGTTTATTAACTGACTAAAACTAAGGTTAAACTTTTAATGAACCTCAAGCAACAGAAAACATCAAAAAACGAAAAATAAAATTTAAGACCATCCCAGTTCATAGAAACAATAAAATCATGAAATTTAATTTGTACATAATTTAACGTGCTTGGAACTGAAGCCAGCTATAAAAGTATGAGATAGTCATAAATAATCAAATTTTTATACGGCTTGCCCAAATAATTAAGAAAGCACATCCATGACAGAACTTGGCATTCCCTTTTCATCTTTCTCCTCATATGACTTTAGCTAATTCTTGAGCTATAAACTCTCATAACTTCTGATATTTCTAGACTGCTAAACAGATCTGTAGGCAGGTCAGAATAATGAGCCACACAAGTAAAAAAGCCAAAGTGCATGATCACAGCTTCCTGTGGGTCAGATTTGCTCAACTACACCCCAGCTTTATTTGGATCTGCCTTTAGTAACCTGTCAGCTTTAACTCAGCCTCTCCCGTGGCCCTTGCAAATCTTTTAGTTCTTACCTACCTTCTACCAAAACAGTATAGTAGACTGCTTTAGCTCCTGTTTTGGAGGCAAAAATGCACTTTAATTACATGAAATACTTGAGTACATTCTTGGTCCAAAATTTAAACACTACAGATCAAGCCTCTTTCCACCATCACCCATTGTCATGCTCACAACTTTCCAGATAGTTCTTCATGTGCGTATTCAAATTCCTGGGTACAGGTGAAAATTTAGCTCCTAGTCTGGCTTGCAAGAGAAATTATTAATATTTAGAATACTTATTTTAAAAATATAAAAATAATTACTCCCAATCAGTCAGCTCTTTTCTTCGTCTTTTCCACCAGATGCATCTAAACTTGATTGTAGTTACAAAAGCATCTGACTGTCCCTCCACGCCATCTCTATCATGGGTGCTTCAGGAGAAAAACCTTGGGTTCCATCTGCCCAGTTTTTGGAACTACAGACTACCTTTGCTGTATTACAGCTGGAAAAGAATCAGTCTTCTCCTGGAAGTGCTTGCTGAAGCCAGAGAATTAATCCCCTTAGTTCCATCCACATTCTTTTGTAGCAAAAGCCCTCCTTGGTTCTTTCACTTGTGGGGCCCTACAAGGGAAAGCTAGCTCCCCAAAAATGAATCAGTGCTCACATGACTCTCTCCATACTTGCTACTCTGTTCAATTGAAAGCAATTCTGCTTATTTTTTAGGGCAAAGTGGTAGGAGAGGGGAAAAGATGCAGAATTTCTCCGATTCCCTGAGAATGTCCATGCTTTTAAATCCAGAGTTAGGACGATACATGTAGGTGACATTTTAACCTTCTCTCCACTTATATCTTCTGGCGGAAATAATGAACATAGCATGGCCAAGTTAGAAATAAGAGGAGATGGTAGAATTATTAGAAAGATACTAAAAAATTGTTTTGTACTTGAATGTACATGAATTATATCATCCTATTTGTATTAGTTCCTAACTTGCTTCTTCTTCATACCAATATACCTTGAAAATCTTTCCACACTGTTACATATAGCTCTCTATTATTCAGTCAGTAACAATTTACTGAGCCCCTACTGTGTGCCCAGCAATATACACCAGGGGCTGCCTGAATGTGCAGGGCTGGGAAAACAAGCTGTCTCTATCCTCATCAGTTTTACATTTTAGAGGGGGTGAGTAATAAACAAATAAGCATGCACGTAACTAATAACACAAAGGAATAAGTACTATGAAAAAAAAACAACTCGGGTAAAGGGATACGGGCAGGGCTGGTATTTCAAACAGAGAGGACCCTCTGCGAAGACAACCTCATTCCTTTCCGTTGCTGAATAATATCACATTCCACCAAAAAATGAGTGAGGTCCATTTCCCACTTTTGCTATCATAAGTCATGTTGTAATATTTACCTCCTTCTGCACATAAACAGTAGTATTTTTAGCAGGCAGTGAAAATAGAATTGCTAAATCTTACTTGCAAACTGCTCTCTGGAGTGGCTATATTAACTTATACCCCCATTGAAAACTGCTTTTGCCCTATACCACTCTTAACAGTTGACATTATTACATTTATTTTACCAATCTGATGCATGAAAAATGGTACCACATTTTTTAAATTGGCACTTCCTTGATTACTGCTTAGGCTGAATGTCACCTTGTATGTTTATTAGACTTTTGTATTTGCTATCTTGTGAAATGGCTACTCATATTCTTTGTCTATCTTTCCATGGATTTTTGTATTTTTTATTTGATCTGTTGAAGTTAATGTATTCAGGTTAATATTTTGTCTAATACATATTGCAAAATATTTTCTTCCATTCTGTGTTGACATATAAAACTTTACTCATTTGGTATCTATATACCCTCTTAACAATCATATAATCCTGTCTCAGGTTGTTGTTTTTAAATTCAAATTCAGTGTGCATTTATTGAGTGCTCACTCTGAATATATTATCCTAGGCAGTTAGGAAGACAAAAGATAAGTGACATGTGGCATCTGTCCTTATGCATTCCACAATTTAGAGTTGGGGACACAAGTACACAAATGCTTGTAAGGTCAAGCGCCTTAACAATCCACAAAATATTTTTTTAAAAAAGGGTATATACTTTTCATGGTAGGGCCGTGCCTCAGGCAGAGCAAGACCCCCAGAAGGGTATCACAGACACAAAGGCACAGAACAGACAGCAAGATTGTGAGTAGACACCTCCATCTCAGCAGGAACAGCATAGACAGAGGCTGAGAACAGCAAGAAAGGGCTAGAGGGAAATTTCTGGGAAAGACAGACAGTGGGTGCATGTACAGTATAAGAATAAAAGGACCACAGTGAGAGACTGGCTTAAAAGGGTGGGGTGCAACTGTCTTAATCATTTTATCCCTAAATAAGAAATATGGTAATAAATTTAAGACTTCTCAGTTTCCTTGAAAAGCAGTCACTAAAGAAAAGAGCACTACTGACTATGAGAAGTTAAGTAAAAATTTGGAGTTGTGGAATAAACATAGCCTCGCAATTGCACTTGATGACAGCTGAAGATCGAGTGTTACACAGCCCATCCAGTGTGTGTGTGTGTGTGTGTGTGTGTGTGTGTGCACGCGCGCTTCACATTGTCCGGGATCTGCTGGTTTCTGCCCTTACAGCCCAAGAATAGCTGCAATTTGGAAGTGTTAAGTCTGTTTCACCATCCTTCAGTGTAAGAGTGGGATAACTTAAGCTCTACAGCTTCACAGTCCTCTGGGGAGACTGCCAAAGAAAGTATATTTTGGACAGAAATCTAGAAAAAAAATAAAATAAAATAATTTAAAAGCCCAAACCCATTTTGGCATAGGGGTGAGATTTCATATCCAGTTCGTGCCTTGGTTCTTCCTTTTAATCGTTCTCAGGATGCAGGGCTGTGTCAGGTTACCGTGGAGAGCGATGGAGCACCTCGGGCTGCAGCACAGACACCATCTTCTGCTAGGCAGGTGGGAAGTTAGTGGGACTTGGGTCTGAGTTGCAAGACAATGCTGGAAAATGTTCCCAATAGCTGACCTTCTTCGCCCCTGCTGACAGGGCGGCCTTCCTCTGCTCATTTTATGTTGCTGAGGGGAGAATGACAAAAGCCAGATGCTTCTCGTTGGAATGCTAGCTGTTTAATCATCCTTTCTAGTCCCAAGACACTGGCTGTAGCTTCTTGGAGCTATCTTGGGCTTTTCCTTGGTTTTCAATGTCTTACAAATTATGTTGAAATTTCCCATTTCATGGAATACAGGGAGGTCTATGGCAAAGGTTTTATTTTTACGTGTTATGTCACAGATGGTGTCCTTGGACCAAAAGCCTTAGAATTGAGGATAGAGGAAATTTTTGTAAACAAGTACACTGTAAATTCTCGTATTGAGATACAAAATGCATAATTTGGCCTCGCTCCTAGCTCACACAAGCCGTGGTCATGTCTAAAGACATGTCCACATCCATTGGAAGGCTTGAGAGCAGCACACCAGGAAAGTCTCCCTGACAGCACAGGCCACACAGCACACACGAGAGAACAAACCCACCTCCCCTTTAGTCTGAGAACCCCAGGAAACCCCAGGACACTGCAAGGCAGAAAAGGTGAACTTCAGCATTGTGGTACCCACACAACATCCTCCTCCATGGGCCTCTTGCTTGCTGTTTTCAGAAGGATAACATAAAGAGAAACTGAAAAGTTGATGCGGTCCAGAATTTCCATGATGTCAAAGAGCAATGGATGCAAAGGAGACCACTGGAGATCGGTCTGCCCTCTGAGGTGCAGGCCCCAGAGCTCAGACCCATGCTACCAGTTAGTCCAACAGGAATGAGAGGGCTTGGGGCATGGTCTGCCTTCTCCCTCTGGCCAGACCGTCATCTCCATCAAGGAGTCCTGGGTAATCATGACTATGGAGGAACAAGAAAACAGCCTGTTGCTAGTCACAGGTGCGAGTCTCTCGGTCCTTCTTTTCAATCCTGGCCTTCCTTCCAGCCATCATATCTCAGTGAAAGGAGTCACTGGTGAGGAGGTAATATGCTATTTTTGACAACCCTTAGGCTGTAACTACTTATTAGATCCTTCTTGCATATCTCTGTCTTCCTGAGAAACCACTTTGAAGATACCACCACGTATTACAGCAGCCATTGATATTTTCCTACTAATCTATCCATAACTGTGTTAAGTTTGTAATGTTCCTATCCTATTTCATAATGTATGTTTATTATTATGTGTTTCCTACAACAACCATTGAGAATAGTTAATGATTTTTCAATAGGTCACTCATGTATAGCTCTATTTATTTTCTTTAGAAGCCACTTTGAAGATACCAAAGTATAGCACAACAACTCTTGATAATCTCCTACCTCTTTTGTCTCTAACTCACTATTATTTGTCTATTTGTTTTCCTGAGAAACTATTTTGTAGATAATAATATGTAAAACAATAACCACTGATAATTTCCTACCATTTTGTCTGTAATTTGCTAAGTCTCCCCTATTATTATGTTATCCTTCTTTTATTCTTTAAAATTTAAAAAAAAAGAGCAATGGTAATCAATTAATCTCCCATACACAGCTTTGTTTTCCAGGAGGACCCCATTATTACTAACAGGCAAGTCATAACTACAGTTTGGAAAGTGATTCATTCTCTCTTTCTGTATAAGTCATAACATTTCATTGAATTTTACAGCTCCTCTTATCTTAATATAGCATGTTACATTCATTTTTTGTACTATGACCTTGTATATGATTTTTCTCTTCTTCTGGTTAAAGTTGCAAACTCTCTTGACTCACTCTATGGCTCCCCCTCTACTATGCCAGGTACTCATTTGTTTCCTCTCTGAAGACTGCGGTGCCTCAAAGAGCTCTCTTCTCAAGGCATGAGGGCTGAGGAGAGGATAAGCACACAGGAAATGGGATCATTGTGGTATACATATGTGGGCCATGTGTCTTAACATAGGAGAGAAGTCTTGGGGGAAGAACCCATTCAAAAATTTTTCTGTGCATGACAGGAATTTGAATTCAGGTAGATGGAAAAACAAAATTTTGTGTTTCTGAAATACCTCTCAAAAGGCCACTTATGAACCTAAAGATTATCTTTGAACCCTTTCTTCATCTGGGCTAAGCAAGAATTATTTTCTAACTTCATGAGAGAAAACTAGAATAAGAAGTATCTCAACTTTTCCAGCTTCCTCAAGCTTGGAAAGTGAGACCCATCATCCCTCAGACCCACTCCCTCTCCCTCACAGGCGCTGGTTCTCTGCCGTGTGTAAACCAATGTTCTTGGCCTCTTGTTTGATCCTCAGATCACTGTTGGGTGAATCAGTCATAAGATTTGGACATTCTGTTCGGAGAACATGATAAATTCATCAAGATTTGCTGGATCTGCTAAACGTTCCTGGCGTTCTTAACAGAATAACTATCTTCTTCTATCCCCAGATGACTTCATGAGATTGGAGACTTGTGAGGGGAGATGATACAGTTGCCCACTTGCCCTGAGAGAAACCCATCCTGACACACCTCCCTGCTCTCACCCAGGTGGCCCTCTCTTTTTGATCTGCATTTCTTTCCTCCCCTGTCCACTGAAAGTGTTCTTTAAAGCATTTTATAAAGCTTAAATTGACCATTATAATCTCCTTCAGCCAGACTTCACACACTTTCTCCAGTTCTGCCTTCTTCACAAGGCCCCAATTTTGTTCAGGCCTCCCCTCACTCTCCCATCAGATACCTCTTAGTCTTAGTTAGCTCCAGCTCCAGAAACAGACATCATCGACCTGAGCATCATCTGTCTCTGCAGCAGAAACTGGATGAAACATGGTCCTGTGGCCTGGGCCAGTCATGAGAGAAGAAACCTATGGGGCTCTTGGTCCTCGGTAGAGTCCAAGGACTAGATTGTCAGTCGCCATCCTCTGGAAGTACCATTGCCTGGCGCTGACCTTGGGGTGGCTGCCTTCCTCTCAGGAGCAAACAAAGTAGGCCATCTGCCTTCTTGGTCACACCCAAAGGCCATTTAAGTCTGAGAGTCTCAATTTCCTCTTTTTTTGAATTGAGGAAGTTAACCTTATTTATCTTAGCTTCCTTCAGCTTTAGAATACCCTGTTTGCCTGTAACACATGACAGGGGAGGACCTGGGAAGTGGAAAAATGCAGATACTTGTAGTTGTAGCTCAAAAGAATCTGAAGCCAGTGACACAAGCAATTTGCTTCTTCACAATCAGGAGATCTCAACTCTCCAGTTTGAGAAATGAGTACTAATCTTGGTGTAACCATGAAGACATCTTTACATTTCCCTCTCCCTCAAGGGAAGCTAGGTAAATGGTTTTGACTAAAATTAAGTGAAAAGCTCAGTACAAGTTTAGGAACTGAAATTCTATTCTTCTTAATTTTAAACTAAACTATTTCCCCTTCCTTGTGTAATTGCTCCAAAGCCACTCAGGAAGACCAAAGGAATTACTAAGTGGTAGAGTAGTTATATGGAAAAGTTAAAGAAAAAATACAGGATTCTCTGCCTGAGGTTAAGTAGATTTTAACTGGCTTTAAAATGCTAAAAGAATTAAGTTGAAGCACCATCTAGTGGTTCTCAAATGTGTTTTCCTGAAAGTTGTTCCCAATTTTCTTCAATTTGAGATATAATTGATTTCTTATGCATATTAATATATATGCATATGTGTGTTTGAAATATAAAAACAATTATTTTTTTCTCCTACCTGTAGAAAAAGATATAAAGATAAGGATTAGGGGAGAGTAGCTGTACCTGTTTTATTCTTCCGATTTAATGCCATCCAGAAACCATGGATGTGAGGATGGAACAGAGAAGGATCATGAATTTACATATATCTCCCCCACAAATGAATGGGGTTCACTCAGTGAAAAAATAATTAAGTTGATGTGGCTCACACTGTAATCACAGCTATGCGGGAAGTTTGGGGCAAGAGGACCTCAAGTTCCAGCCCAGCCTAGCAAACTTAGTAAGACCTTGTCTCAAAGCTGAGAAAAGGGCTGAGGATGCAACTCAGTGGTAGAGCAATTGCCTACAATGAGCAAGGCCCTGGGTTCAACTCTCAGTATCCAAAGGGGAAAAGAAAAGAATTAACAGAATAATGTCCATAAAATATAACAGATCTCAGTTCTTCTTTTTCCTACTCACATCCTCTCCAAGAGCCCACAACTGTATCTTCATCTTCCTAACCCTGCAATGCAGACATGTCCTCACACATCTAGGGATTGGCTGGCTGGCTACTGGATGATCTTTGCACACCTCCGGATTCCCAAGTGCTTTCCCACCATGAGCCCACAGCTTCCCATGGCTGTAAATGAACAAGAATTCTTCTGTAATTATTATACAGATAGCTCTCATGCTTACGATGCCTAGCTTCTGAGGTTATGTCTGTTTCATTACCTCCAAGCAAGAACAAAAATGGGCCACAACATGCAGATGAGTTGAGCACAACCTGCTGCTGCACTATTGACAGCAAACCTTCAAAATGACCATGTGGGTATTTGTATCAATTAGGATTAAATTCCATTATATGCAGGAAAAAAAATCAAAAAAGCAGTGACATGGACAAAATAGTTTATTCTCTCTCACACAACATCAGTGGGTAGACAGTTTAGGGTTGGTAAGGACACGCGATGATTATCAGGCTCCAGGTCCTTCCACCTTTCTTTTTCTCCATCGTAGTGAGTAGCTGCCAGTCTCAGTGTTACCCATAGCTCAAGTTAGCTGCTGGAGCTTCACTCATCACACCAGGAAATAAGGAGGAAGCAAAAGAGAACCCATTCTTTCACTTTAAGATTTTCTGAACATGTCTCACAAGATTTATGTTTGTATCTCATTTTCCAAAACTGATGGTCATACTTTGCTGCAAGAGAAGCCAAGAAATACCTTTGTGCATCCCTATAATAAATAAAATTTGAATTGAGCTAATAAGAAACATATTGGTCACCTCATGCCACAATAATGTTGTATAATAAGCAACCACAGAACCTAGGTGGAAACATTGCTCATATGTCTGAGATCAGAAGAGGTCAGGCCTGATAATCTTGACTTGGCATCCTTACATGACTAGGGGATGGCTGACTATTGGATCCTCCAGACTAGCTTTGATGAGAGTTAAGGATGTTGGAGTGAGGTATCTCAGCTGTGTTCTTAAGATTCTCATTCTCTAGTGGGAGAGGTTAGGCATATTTTCATGAAATAGCAAGTGCAGGCACACAGGACCTCTGGAGATCCACACTCCATATGGACACACTGCCATTTCTGCCTCGTTTCATTGTTCAAAGCGAGCTACTGGGGGTGGGTAGACATGCACTCTGTTTAGGGAAAGAACTTTGAAGTCAAATATTACAAGAAATATTACATGAGTAGAGAAAGGGGTAAGGTTTAGAGACATGAATATGACCATTTGCCATAAGAGAAAGGCACTGGACCAGGAACTTGCAATCTCTGCCACAGTTTTTAAAAATCTGTCAGACAATTATATTATTAGACTTCTCCCCTTTCCATGTCCTGTTTTAAACACAAAGAAATTGTAATAAAAAAGAGATACAGGAACTTATATATATATGACATTATTCACAAATTGATTTCTTGACTTATTAAATTACTAATAGAGTAGGTGTTAATTTTGGTATGCATCTTAATCCTTAGAGAGAGATTGGCTAGATGTGCATCTAGCCTGATTCCTTCCCCCCGACCCCAAAGCAGCCATGCTACATTTTCCAAGCACCAGCCAAGTTGATGTGGCCATATATATGACTGAGGACTAGCCAATCAAATGTGAGCAGAAGTGACTGAGGACTAGCCAATCAAATGTGAGCAGAAGTGATTGCTACTCCAGACCTGGGCTAGAAAAGCCTCCCACATAAAATCCTATTTCCTATTCATCAGCTGAATAGAGAATACTCTGAGAAGAGCAAAATAGTCATAAGACAAACAAAGATAAAATGACAGCTTACAGAAACACCCTTCCATCCACTGTCTGGCCCAACCAACACTGGAGTAGGATATGAACAAAATCCAAACTTTTTCAGTGTGCAACCAAGAAGCTAGGATAAAAGCCCCATCCAATTAGACTACTGTATTTATTAGTGTCTTCCAGTATTGTGCATTCATTTTCTCTCCTAGAGTTTTACTGAAAATAAAAGTGACCCGGGCCACCTGCAACTTTATATGAGACTTTTCTTTTAAATTAAAAGACACTTTTTACTGCAGGATCATTATCTATACCAAATGGAGGTAAGGTCCCAGTTTACAGTGCCCCTGGAAGATACTAAGGTTTTATCAATATCTTACTCTTAGGCCCCAATCTCTATGATTTATAGTGTAGACAAGGGAAATTGAGACACTGGAGTTGTAAAAGTTAAGGCACCTGTAGCACTGTCTCCAATGATGCTGGCAATTCCTTAGGTGGGAATTTCTAACTTCTAAAATGCAGATGCTGCTAAACTGACATGGATATGTGTTTAATAAGCCAAAACATGCAGTTCAGCTGCCCTGTTAATTGTTAGCAAGCAAGGCATACCAGGTCACCTACTGGCTCACTTCCTGGAGTGTTTGTGGCTCCTGCCATTGCATCATTGATCAACTTCTCAGGTGTGTGAAGTGTTGGCGCCTGGGTTGTACAGGGTTCAGCTGCTGAACAGAGGGACCTCTGGATGAGTTGGAAAAGCTCCCTGTCACAGTGCTCTGAAGTCAAGATCACAGTGCAGCCGAGGCAGCCGAGGACACAGGCTGCTGACACTCTATTTCAGAGCAATAAAGCTGCCATCCTTAGAGATCAAACAGTTCTCTTAATTGGCAAGATGTACTGCCTTTGTTTCCTGGGCCCTGGTCATTTTTGCAGGCTTTCGGCTTTCATATCCACCTCTTCCCGCACCTCCAAATCTGTGAGATAAAAATGGGCTGTCCGGAGAAGTTCTTTGTCTCAACTCCCAGGGAGTCTCTGAAGAATCTTTACTCCTGAGAGAGTTCTGACCTTCTTAGAGCCCCCAAACTACTGCTGTCTCTTTTATTAAAGCTGTTCACCATTTACTCATTTTAGGAGATCGAAGCTAGGCCAAGACCCCAATAGTAAAGGATCAAGAAGTTGGGTGCAAATACCATCCAGATCACGTGAGGGGTAGAGAAAAACTACCCAGCACTGTTATTTTGTTGTTGTTGCTGCTGAAGCATTTTCCTCTGTAAGCCAAGAAGCAGCGTTGTTTCACTTTTGCTAATAAGAGCTCACTAGGGGAACGTGGAGAGTAGACACATCTCCTTGGTACTAGTGGTGGCAAGAGTCAAGCATTTGCATGGCTAGATTCACTGTGTGCTAAGGGATTAAGACAGGTTTTGCCTACTATCACATGGATTCTCATAAACTCGAAGGTCTGAATAGCGACAGCAGCAATTAAGGTAGCCTTTAAACATGAAAGTTTTATTGCAAAGGGCTATTTCTTGTCATGTCTTACTGAGTCTAAATGGACTTCCAACTTTCATTCTCTAGGAAAAACATAAATTCTATAATTAAGCAGAAATGAACACAAGCCCTCAGAAATGGGTAATTAGACATAAACTCTTGAGAAATCCCTGCAACTTCACTTCTCCCACTGAATTCTGAGGAGTGGGCTAGCCTAGAAACCCCCTGGGTCAAAACTGCAATGAAGAAGAAGCTCTTGTCCAAGGTCTGTGGGCACTTCTGGGTTATTCACAAAGTCTAATGTGAAAGAAGGCACTGAATATGCAGTGAAGCACGTCTAGCACATTTCCCAGCACATGGTGGACCGATGTCTTACAATGTTCTCTAATGAATAGTATCATTAGTTTTCAGTTCCTACCTGCAAGCATTTATCTTCTGGGAGGAAGCAAATCCCACAATAACCAGAACAACCATGAGAACAGAGAGTTTCACATAGAGAATGATCAGTAAAGAAGATGCTGCAGATCCTGAGGTTGTAGCACCTTTAAATAAAAACCAGGGTGAAAAGTCACTTTAAGTATTCTTTTAATTAACAAATTGAAGTCAGCAGTTTAAAAGAGCATTTGAAAATATTCCTAAAAGTTCACAGATTGTCAAAACCAAAAACCCTTCTAAATTATGACTCAAATGTTACTAGTGGATCATAATTTCATGACAGTTTCAGACCAATGTCTGTGTTTTGCATTTGGTAAGTTTTTAATAAATATTTTCTGAAAAAAAAATAAATGTACACTAAGCCTTAATACTTTTCAATTTTGTAAGAAAGAAGAAAATTTTCCCATGCACATTATAATCTTTTGAAAGGCATTATTCTTAATAATTTGGGCTTGATTGATAATACTTGTCACACACAGTGAATTCATTTTGTCACTGAGTTGATATAAAATCCCTTTAGCAAAATACTTTGTCTTTTTAATTTCATTTTGTTCCTCTAGGAAATGACTCCATAAGTTGTTTTTAAAATCACACAAATTAGGACGATCATTCTGAAACCTTTTCTTCTATGAATGTGGCAGCTTAGGGCAGGTATGGCTCCAACACATCATTACATTCTATTAAATAACTCAAGCAGAGAATAAAGACTAAACTGAGAGGATGTCAGGCAATCTTTTAGATGCTGTCAAAGAAAAGATGACAACAGGATAACAGTTCTCAAAAATCTCAGAATTCTACAGTAGACATCAGACCCCTATAAATGAAAAGTTACACAGCTGAAACAGTGCCTAGAAAGTATGATAGACATTGTGAAATGATAGGAAAGCACTCAAGGGTAAAGGGCAACTGGGATGTGGGAAAAGAGAAGGGAAAGAAGGAGAAATTTTGTATGTATGTATACACAGGATAGTTAACATAGTTGATCTACTGTCTTCTATTTCTTTGGTGAAAGAAACTGTCAGCGAGTCCTTGATGGATCAATATTGCATGTCTCTATTTGTTTTCATGAGAAACTACTTTGAAGATATCAATATGTAATACAACAAGCATTGTTAATTCCCTACCACTTTGTTTGTAAATCTGTATTGTCTGTACTGTTCTTTTGCTTTACCCTTGAGCGTTTTCCTATCATTTCACAATGTCTATGATACCTCCGAGTTTATATTAACTCCTTCAGGTTTTACACTAGTGAGACAATGCAGTGCTTGCACATGTAGGTCTGATTTATTTCACTTATGAGTGTGGTCAAGATCTTAACCTACTTTAGGTGAAAAAATAAACAGAAGCGTAGCAAGTAATTTACAAAATAGAATAGGAGAGAACCTTCATGCATGGAAAACTCCAAAAGAGTAGGAAGCATGAGATCTGACAAAATAGCTCAAGTAGTTTAAATGATCTTGCCAAGAAGAAATGATAATCATTTGAGTCAATGAATATGTTAATTACTATAAATGATACTTTTATAAATGCATACATGGATAAAAATTTCATTTGTACCCCACAAATATATAAAATTATTCTTTGTCAATTAAAAATAAAGACAAAGAGAGATGTAGCTAAGAAAGCAGAAAAAGGGCACATGGTGGGTAGGGTGAAGCACAAAGCTATGAGCTGGAGTTGCTTTGAAAGTCTGCATTCAAACACGTAGGCTCTCAAGTCCTCTCTCCGCTCTGTGCAGCACATCTTCCCTCACCAGCAGACAAAAAGGGAGTCTGTTCTCAAAGAGATGAACTGGAGACCTCAGAGTGAAGGACCCAGACATCGTGGAGAGTGGAGAGGAAGCACCACACTGAAAGACACATCAGAGGGAAGCTTGAGCACTGGGGAGTGGCATGCACACATGCACGCTTCACTCTTCTCCCCAGGACAGTAACTGTGAGACTTGGCCTTCCAAGGAAAGGAGCTGAAGACTTATTTCCTGAAGAGCTTCAGCAGTCCCAAAGAAAAGCAGATACATGAGGATCTCCAGTTATTGCAAAACAAAAGTCCATTTGTTTCTTTCTCTCTTTATTGGTGTTAACTAGTTGACAAGTCCCACTGTCATACAGTCAGGCTTGTAATCAGCTCTTCAGTGTTCACTTGGAAATAAATTGACAGCCAAGGATTGCCAAAGAGAGCATATGAAGGAAAGACTAAAACAAACAAATGGTAGAAGGCAGCAGGAACTCAGATTAAGTATATACGGGATCAAGTAGAGGATCAAGGCAAGTGACCATCTAGGCCAATAGCTATGTAATGGGCCAAGTGAATGTGACTGTCCACCACTGATAAGCCTGAGATCATGAAACACCTAAAGAAAGGATATCATCAAGAAAAAAAGGGAGGGAAGTGATAGATTACCTAAATCTGATCTGTGGAAAGCTTTAGTAGAAGTTCTTTAATTTTGTCTATGAGCTTCATGTTAATTCACAATAAGTAAATACACTGAAGTTTTAAAAAGTAAAGCAAATATGAACACTATGAAAAAAAGCAAAACAGAGAAATCATGTGTTGATTTTCTTAGCAATCATATTTGCCTATTCAAATTAATATAATTGCTATATCACTGATATGAAGGATGAGGAAAGGAATAAGACAAGGCTAACTGTTCACCTACTATAAGGGGAAATGGCTACATAATGTCTAAAGTCATAAATAAGAAACAGCACTACCAACATGTGATTTAGGAAAATGGAGTTAAATACTACAAGAAACGCTTGAAATTTGAACATATTTGGCTCTGAAATTGAATGAAGACAGAGAAGAGGGTTAGAAAGGCAAGGGTTAGACTGGTGTTTTCCAGTTAGGGCCTCATGCAATAATTTGACTTTAAACTATGTGTGTTGTATTGATTAAAGCAATACTTAAATATTTTGAATTGACAAGAAATAGGAGTAGGATAAAAGCACACAACAGAGAAACTAGATAACAAATGTTATAAGACGTTTAAGAAACTCCACCATGAAGAGCCTAGAGGAGAAAAGCATCCCAAACTAAAAATCCATGAAGCCAATTTATGAGTGACTTTATCCTTCTCATAAAACCGTATCTGTTTAAAGTCATACTTTCTACTTCAATTTAAACCATGAGCATCCTTTTAAAACGCACCACCCAAGTCAATGTAATACTAGTACAGAAGCAAGCAATCTGACTGGAATAAACAGCATTCTACAACATGGCTTTTTACCAAAAAGTTCTGTAATATTATTCCTCTAGACATTATCTCTCTATTTTGGAAGGGGAGGGGAGGTAAAATGGAGGCTGAGAGAGAGCTTCTTTGAAAGAAATTTCTCTGCACATTGTTTCCTCCTTGTCTCCAATAAAAGAATGGGGAAAAATCAAACCAAAACTAAGAGAATTACTAACCAGAAGGCAGGACTTCAGAGAGACTCCTGTTCCCCGTCACATGGGAGACCAAGCAGGTCACAGTGGATACATTGCTGTCTGAATAGCGGCATGTGCTTCTGACCGTCACTGTGCCGTTGCTGTTCTTTTCCTCCTTAGTCACACAGCGCCCCTTCGGAGTCCAGGAGATCTGTGCAGCCGGCCTGCCTGCAACGGCCTCACACACCAATGTCTTATTCTTGCTGAGAAACATGTTGGCTTCAGGGCGCACTGCAGAGACGTGAGGAAAATTATGCTTCAGCCTTAAGATCAGAGATGAAATTTGGAGAATTTGGTGATGTGAGATATCACAATATATGACATCCCTTACCGAGCACTTGCAGTTGATATCCATGTTGGAAATTCCCAGTGGGTGACACTATTTCACAGATGTAATATCCATCATGTGCGACAGCCACCGCATTGATCTGAAGGTGAGGGCTCAGGTCAGGTCTGGAGGCCCACGTTACTCTCTCATCGGTACAGTTGGTGTCAGTGCTCTCATTTGTTTCTCTTCTATAGGCTTTTGTGCAGAAAGGCTGGTCTCTGAGCATGATTTTCCATGTCCTTAGGTCCACGTTTGTCAGGAGGACAGGAGGGCAACAGAGCACACACGATGAGCCTAACTCTACAGACAGGGAAGTGTTAACTGGACACACACACACACACCACACAAAAGAAGAAATGAGAAAAGCAAGCTTCATAAACATCTTTGTATGTTAAGGTTTACCCACAACAGACAACATGAAATTGTATTACAACATTGCTTTACTGGTGATCATATCAGAACTATTAGACTTGTATAAGAAATGAATATTTGTAAAAATATATAACGTATATTATATGCAAATGAAATTCAAATGTTAAGCAATTTTCTTCTATATTTTACATTGCAATAGAATCAATATGTATTCAAATACATGAAAATTTTCAGGAAGTTTGATATTTACAAAAAGATAAGAAAACAGAACATTAAATTAAATCTTCTAAAATCTAATATTTTGATGATAAGCAATATTGGATTTGTCACACAATTCAAACTCCTCAGAAAATAAAATGCTCTCCAGAAAAGAAAATGCAATAATTTTGTGGTTGTCTCTCCCTGAGTTTTAATATGTGCAAAAAAACAATAGCATTAAAACTAAATGTGTATCACTAAAAGCAACTTTTCTGCCAAACATAGATGTGTAAATTATATGGCACTTCTATTAAAAGTAACTAATATGGTATTCAGGTTGAACTAATTTGAAATTCAAATTCTTTAAGGGTACAAATGATATCAACAAACCTTAATCTATAATTTCATCAGTTTAACTATCCCATGAAAATGAAAAGTGATGATGCCTAGAAATATCTTTTTCTGGTGAAGTAATAGCATGTTGTATAAATTTAAAAATGAGGAAAGACAAGGTTTATTTCCCCTTCTAACTTATTCATAAAAAGAACTTTATTGAAAAAGTGTGATACTGTCAAATAGCTTTTAGAAAAGTTTCTCTTCCTTTTTGGTTAGTCACACTTCTATTCTCAAGCAGTTCCACTGTGAATTTTGCCCCTTGTGCTACAGCAGTCAGACCACCATATTCTTCAGTTGTTGGGCTGGACTCAGTCAGGTCATCAGCTGCTTTTTCTAACAAAGTTCAACCCTCCATCCCTTCCCTGCTGGTCTCTAGATGTGACAGTGTATTACCTTCCGCAGGAAGGGATGAACGGTCCTGCATAAACTGCTTTCCATCCAGACATGAATTACCTGAAGCTAGAAAATCTTTAGGAAAGAATAAGTGAAATTAATTTTTAATACTCAGAGTGGACGTCACTTTTTCTTCCCAAAATCTTACTCAACAAAACAATGAGTTAACTAAAATTGACAAAAATAAAAGAATAAAAAAATTAAACACAGGTTTTTTTATAGCAGTGATACTGTTTTGTGTAATATCCCCATGAGGGTGGATACGTGTCTTCATATAATTGTCCAAACCTGTAGAATCTACACCACCAGGAGTTAATCCTAATGGAAACTTTGCACTTTGGCTGAGAATTATGAATCCATGTAGGCTCAGTGATTGTAGTATATGTGACGCTGAGTTGCAGGATGTCCAGAACGGGGAAGGTGGTGCCTGGGTGGGCTCAAGGGTTCTATGAGAACTTTCTGGACTTTCCACTCAACTTTGTTGTAAACCTACAACTCTTCCAAAAAATAAAATCTGTTCAAAAACCAAAATATATGTGGTTCAAGGAGGTCTCACAGTACATGAAATTCATTTCTGTCATTTCATTCTGAATATTTCTGAATTGTTTTATCAGTTCAGACCCTAGCGCTTCCAGCAAGACTTCATCTCAGTCAGGTCTTGCTGCTTTAAGGATTCATGAATGGTGAATTTCTTTAAGAGAGATACTTTATTTCTCCTCTTTTTTGTTTTCTGAGGATTATAAGAAACTGCTAAAAATATTTCCAATGAATTAAGACATTCTGGAAGAAATGGATAAATTCCTAGATACATACAACCTATCAAAATTGAACCAAGAAGATATAAAAATCCTGAGCAGACCAGTAGCAGGCAATGGAATTGATGAAGTAATAAAAATTCTACACACTGAGAAAACCTCAGGTCCTAATGGATTCACTGCTGCTTTATTCCAGGACATCAAAGAAGAATTAATACCAATGCTCCTCAGATTCTTCCATGAAATTTAAAAGGAAGAAATGCTGCTAAACTTATTCCACAAAGCCACCATTAGCACCAAATCAATGCATAAAAACACAACCAAAGACTGAGAGAATAGATTTGCCAAAAGCATATTTAACAAAGGATGGTTATGCAAAACACGCAAAGAACTCTTACATGTAATAACAGGAAAACAAACAACCAGATTAAAAGACAACTTGCAAAGGAAAGATTTTGTACATCAGATGTCCACAAGGAAATGCAAATTAAAACTACAATGAGCTGCCTTCGGACACTAATGCTGGTGGATGTACAAAGCAACAGAATCTTCGCGCTGGTAAGGATGCAAAATGGTACAGCCACTTTGAAGGAAGGCTCAGCAGTTTCTTACATAACTAAAAATGCTCTTATCATACAATCCAGCAATCATGGTCCTTGGTATTTACCCCAAAGCAGTGAGAACTTATGTCCACACCAAAACCTGCACACTGGTGTTTATAGCAGCTTCATTCACAATTACCGAAATCTGAAAGCAGCAAGATGTCTTGAACAGATAAGCGAGTAAATGAATTTTGGTACATTCTGAAAGTGCAATATTGCCCCGTGCTTAAAGAAATGAGCTCTGAAACCATAAAAAGATATGAAGGAAATTTAAATGCTTTATTTAAGTTAAGAAAAGCAATATGAAAAGGATGTATACAAGAAGAAGGAAAACTATGGAAACAGTAAAAGATGATTAAGGCTTAAGGAAGAGAAAAGGATTTCTCAGTGAGGCAAAGATTTTTGACACAGTGAAACTACTGTATATGATGCTGTACTGCTATTCTTAGCCATGCTTGAGGTGAGTAATCATTATTCATTATTAATTGGCATTTCCTTTCCAGTTATTAATACTGAACATCTTTTCATGTATCCATTAACCATTTAAATATCTTTATTCCTGTGAGGTGTCTGTCTAAATCTTTGTCCGGTGTTTGAAATTGATTAAAAATTTTTGAAGTGCACAAATTATTTGCTTATTCTACATAGCAGTCCTTTTTTGGAGATGTGAACTGCAAATATATTTTTTTTCATATCTGTGGCTTGCCTTTTGATTTGCTTAATGATATCTCTCAAAGAGTACATGTTTATAGTTTTGAAAATGTCTGTTTTATCAAATTTTCTCTTATTATTTGTTCTTTTCACATCCTAAAAGGAAAATCTTCATATATGCCAAAATCACAAACATTCCCTCTTATGTTTTCTTCTAGGGATTTTATTGACTTAGTTTTTCCATTTGAGCCAATCAAATTGAAGTTAATTTTTATGTGTATGTGAAGTCAAGGTTGAATTTATTTTTTTATATATATAGATAAGCAACTATCTCATCATCAGTTGTTGAAAAAAATTATTTCCTCTTTAAATTGCCATACTACCTTATTTAAAATTAATAGATCACATAAGAGTGAGTCTACTTCTGGACTATTTTTTCCATTAATGCATATATTTATCCTTTATCTAATACCAGATGGTCTTGAGCACTGTGGCCCCAGAATAAATTAACTTAGGTAGCTTTTTAAAAAACTGACCACTTTTGCCAAGTTAGGGTTAGGGTTAAGGTTAGGGTTAGGAGAAAACATTAAAAGAAATAATGATAAACTATCTCAAGCCGAGGGAAAGGAAGAGAAATCTATATTCAGAAGACTTAATGGGCCCATTCTAGGATGAATCCAAAGAGACCTATATCAAGATCATAGTATAATCAAGAGTCAAAAGCTAAAGAAAGAATATTGAAAGCTACAATGGAAATGATTTTTACATACAGGAAACCTCCCATGAGACTGTCAGTAAATTCTTCAACAGAAACCATGCAGGCAAAAAAGGATTAGCATAATATGTTTAAAAATGTGAATATATATATATGTATATATATATATGTATATATATATATATATAAGGTACTGGCAAAAGAAAAGATAACATCAAACTCAAAACACTCATACTATAATGGTGCTGAGAAAAACACTTATACCTCTAGTATTAAGGTTAAAAGACAAATTTTAAAAACAGCTCTAGCTATAATAATTTAAGGGGGTCACAGAGGATAAAAGATAAAATATATGTAAACATGACGTAATCTTGTGTATAGAAAACCCCAAAGATACCACCAAAGAAAAACTATTAGAACTGATAAACAAATTCAGTAAAGTTACAGATTACAAAATCAACATACAGAAATTGTACTGCCTCTGAGACAAACCAAAAATGTCTTATGAGTGAGTCAAGAGTACCCTTGTCACTATTGAAAGATAGGTGCATTTTCTTCTAAAAATGTCAGCATGTCAGACTTACCAGGCATAATGATAGCGATGGAAATCAGTAACCTCACAGCCAAAGTCCTCTCCAAGGTACACATTTGGAGTGGTTTTCTGTTTACATAAATCCACTGTAAATCAATGAACTGAATGAATCTCTCCGGATAGGTCGTCTTTTTGTTGTTGTTGTTTTTGTGTTTTGTTTTTCTTCTGGTACCAGGAATCAAATTCACGACCTTGCGCTTGCCAGGCAGGCACTTTGCCACTGAGCTAAATCCCCAGTCCCCTCCCCGCCCCCATAGGTGGTCTTGTTTACTCTCATTCCAACAAGGTTGTCTGTCATTTTGCTTATCTTTATGTTTATCTCTATTCACACATTTTGGCAAATTAGCCACAAGCAGGAAATGTCAGTGATAAAGCAAAAAAAGGCTGATCATTTGTTCTTCCAAACCCCTGCATAAAGTAAGATAGAAAATACATCAATTCACTTAAAAAGTAGCATTTCGCAGATATAAAACATATATGACAAAGTGCACAAACCTGAAGTGTACAGCATGATAAAATTGTACATATATAGGCACTAATACATGCACTTCCTAAACCAAGGTAGTAACATTTTACTCAAAGTTTTCTTCATTTCCTCTCCTCATAATTTGTTTCCCAGAAGTGAACACTAGTCCAGTTT